CTGCTTTGACCAGTCTCTTTCTCTTATAGAGTTCGCCTTCGATCGGTGCTCTCTAAAGGTCCTGCTTAGTTAGTTCTTTGTCTTCGGTTTATCTATGTTATTCGAGTTCTCCTTTCGTTATCTTAGCTAACATTCTCTATTAAAAGTCCTTTAGTGTCTCTTCAAAGTCCAGTTGTTTGGCGTCCTTGTTTAGGCGAATGCATCCTTTCTTGGTGGGGCTTTCTTCGGTTAGTCTCGTTCTTGTGTTTTCTATTAACTCCAAACATTTCTTTCTTGATGATCAATTTTTCTTTTGTGTGTCTTACTCTGACCAGACATGCATATCTTTATCCCGTGTAAGTTCACCTTTGATCGACGTTCTTTTCTTAGGAATCTACCTTCGGCATAGCATTCCTTGTTAAAGATTCCCCTTCGGCTGGTTTCTTTATCTTGAAGTCCACCTTCGGCTGGCACCCTTAAAATCCACCTTCGACTGGTACCTTTTGTTAGGAGTCCCCTTCGGCTGGTCTGTTTTCATTTGTAAGTTCGCCTTTGATCGGCGTTCTTTTCTTAGGAATCTACCTTCGGCATAATATTCCTTGTTAAAGATTCCCCTTCGGCTGGTTTCTTTATCATAAAGTCCACCTTCGGCTGACACCCTTAAAATCCACCCCCGGCTGGTACCTTTTGTTAGGAGTCCCCTTTGGCTGGTCTTTTTTCATTTGTAAGTTCTCCTTTGATCGGCGTTCTTTTCTTAGGAATCTACCTTCGGTATAGTATTCCTTGTTAAAGATTCCCCTTCGGCTGGTTTCTTTATCTTAAAGTACACCTTCGGCTGGCACCCTTAAAATCCACCTTCGGCTAGTACCTTTTGTTGAGAGTCCCCTTCGGCTGGTCTCTTTCCATTGTAAGTTCGCCTTTGATTGGCATTCTTTTCTTAGGAATCTACCTTCGGCATAGTATTCCTTGATGAAGATTCCATTTCGGCTGGTTTCTTTATTTTGAAGTCCACCTTCGGCTGACACCCTTGAAATCCACCTTCGGCTGGTACCTTTTGTTGAGAGTACCCTTCGGCTGGTCTCTTTTCATTGTAAGTTCGCCTTTGATTGGCGTTCTTTTCTTAGGAATCTACCTTCGGCATAGTATTCCTTGATGAATATTCCCCTTCGGCTGCTTTCTTTACCCTTGAAATCCGCCTTCGGCTGGTACCTTTTGTTGAGAGTTCCCTTCGGCTGGTCTCTTTTCATTGTAAGTTCTCCTTTGATTGGTGTTCTTTTCTTAGGAATCTACCTTCGGCATAGTATTCCTTGATGAAGATTCCCCTTCGGCTGGTTTCTTTACCCTTAAAGTCCACCTTCGGCTGGTACCTTTTGTTAAGATTCACCTTCGACTGGTCTCTTTTCTTTGTAAATTTTCCCTTGATCGACGTTCTATCCCCTTTAAATTCACCTTCGGCTGGTATCATTGGTTAGGAGTCCCCTTCGGTCGGTCTCTTTTTCTTTGAAAGTTCGCCTTTGATCGGTATTCTATTCAGAGATAATGTATATTTGTATCCCCAGTAAATTTGCCTTTGATTAACGTTTCCTTCATGAGAGCCTTCTTCGGTCGGTATCTTTCTTGTGTATGTCTAACCTTGACCTGACATCCAAGAGATTTATTCTGATAACTACTGCAATCCAAAAAAAAAAGAATAACATAGAAAACAAAAATATATAGTAATACCTGACTGGCTTCGGAGCGTAAGTTTTCGGGTTCTTTTAGTATTTAATCTTCTTCCGCCTTGAAAGTTCGAAAGGTTGGCGTCAATCTCACCTTCAGGTTTAAGACGATTAAATAGGGGCAGCTGTTGCACCCCAAACTTTTCCCTCCTAATTTTACTTTTATTTGGCTTAGACTTAGTGTAGCATTCACATATTTTCATTAGGTCACTAACATGGCATATATTTTGCATTTTAATAAAAGCACCTAAGGTGCAAAAGTTCAGTGGTTGTGTAATATAAGGGTTTTACACTGGTTAAGTCACTCGTGTCCAATAAAGGATGATTTCTTCTTCAAGCATTGAGCGGTAGATTAGGGTTGTGGTTTATGGTCATTAAGAATCTCTTCTTCGCGAATCTATAAGGCCAATCTCCATCAAGTTTCATCAGTTCTAGAGATTAGAGTTTATTTCCCTATGTATCTCGTGGAATAAGGGTTTTATCACATGGATGTCTTGCTATGCTTCCAGTTCCATCTGAGTCAAGGAATTTCCTCAAGGAAGGTTAGTTTGGCGTTGAGGTCACATGGTGTATCAAGCGAGGGGTACGTATATTGCTTGGGCTACATGGTGCAATCATTGGTTTTTGTGCATGAAAATAAGTACATGAGCTCACCCCGCCTATCATTAATTAGGATTGGTTCAATCAATGGTGACTTCAAATACAAGTTATTAAGGGCATGGAATATGAGCATTGAACTAGGGTTTTGCCAAGGTGCGAGTATGGTTTACTAATTGGTCTGAATTCATGAAATTATACAAGAGATTGATTCAAAGAGATCTTAATCAATTTTTTTGACTTTGATTAAAGTCGGCTTGAGAAGTAGTCTTTTTGGCCAAATTTCCATTTAAGTTCATTATTAACTCATCCTATTGGTTTCAAATTTGGAAGAAGCTACCAACGGTCAAAGTGAAGCATGTGAACCATATAAAAAGGATAGCATTCAAAGGATTTCAACTTACACTTCATATGCAAAGGATAGCATTCAAAGGATTTCAACTTACAAAAGTGTGTGATTTCATGATCAAAGGTTATCGTTGCATAAAGTCACATGTGATTGAACTTTCATGCAAAGCCCATAATCAAAATTTCATCCTTTATTCAAGTTTATTCAAATAATAAGAAAGGTGTTAAAGAGAGAATACTTGTAATCTCAAGTTCAATTTAGAAGAAGTTGCTTTGAATATTAGAAGATATCACGAAATTTTCAGAAGAAACATATTACAAGAGAAGTACAAGTACAATTCCAATCTAATTCATCACATGAAAGTTACATTTAGACTACAATTTCCACATTGCATACAATTACCATTGGAGAAGTAAAAAGTTCAGTTGCTAATCTTAAAGCTATTCTTGATTAATTCTCCAAAGTCATCCTCGTCCGGTTTTGTTCTTCATATTCCAATCTTCTTCATGACCTCATAAGTCTTGTGCCTATTTGTTCAGACCAAATAATCGTGACAAGGCAGCCCCACAAAATAACCAAGTCAGTCAGCATATCAAAAAGCAGTTCATGCATATCACAAAGGCCAGAGTTATTCAAACGAAATTGATCATAAACTTAGAATAGGAAATACAACAGTTCAAGTCATCAAAAGTTACTCATGAACCCAGGCCATTTCAGTTCACGCAATAAAATTCATAGGAAGATATATCAGTTCACATAAACCGAGTTCATCTGGCATGGTTGAATCGGATTGTAGCTCACATTCAAAATACCAAAGCCAGAAAATATAAAGAAAGGAAATAGTGAAACAAAAAAATAAGAAGTCAAGTCCTAACTAAATTCGGTTTCAGCATAACAGAAAATCAGCAGCTTCCAACAGAAGTCATAACAGCTTGACTTTCATTTAAATCTCAACCATTCATTTTTCCTAACTAATTTTCAGATTAACCACTCAAATCAAAACAAATCCATAATTTATTTTCTAACCACTAACAGTTTTCTTAACAGTTTCAATAATTGATTTCAACAAAAATAAAAACAGAATTATAAACTAACTGGCTAACTAACTTGTAACAAATTTTAGAACTAACTTCTCAACTCTCAACTTTCCTCTGACAAACTAAACCAACAACATTTACTAACTCTTAACTTCCATACATAACTGACTCCAACTGTCAATAATAGAAAGCCAATTGTCATAACAGAAATATCCCTCCAACTAACTTCTAACTAACCAATTGCAAGCTCATACTAACTGTCATAATAGAAACTAACTCTAACTCCTATAACTGAATCAATCTTGGCCCTTAATCCTTGTAACCGACTTTTTAATTGAATGGACATGGATTCACTCTGCTGTAAAAAACTTTTTTGAACACTAACAGAAGTATAAGATAGAAACAAACTCACCAATTCAGGGATCCTTCAATATTCTGTAGAATTAAAAAATACCA